TGTCACCTCCAATTAATCAACACACAGTCCTGGATTCTAAACATTCTTACACTTAATAAAAGCAGGAATGAAAAGGGAGAGGGTTTAGGGTGAGGAAAGCATTATTTCATTGAAATTTTCTTGACAGCATTTTAACCCCAAGAGAAAAAACCTGATCCTGGGTCTTTACAGTCCAATGCTGGGGTGAGGGAGGAAGGTCTCTGGGGTATCAGATATGTATAAGGCCTAAGACAGTAGACACTGTGTCCAACACCTGTAATCATTCATCGCTTTCTTAGATGAAAAAGAGGAAAAATAATTCTGAAAAGAAACAAGGCATCAATAACTGAAGTGGAAAAGTTGTGGTTTTTCTCCTTGTCATTTTCTCCTTTGTCATTTCAACTGGAGATTATTCCAGGTTTGGTGTTTTGTTTTGATTTTTTCCCATCCCAAAGAAACCCATCTAATATTGCCACTTGGAAAGAATAAGAACATGTCACAAAGAGGGGAGGTACTTCATAAACATAATGTGTACATTCCATTGTATATACATAACCAAAGGATAATATTTAGTGCTATTATAATAAATCTATTCCAGATCTTGCCAATAATAGGGAATGGAATAAGATTTTTCAATAAAAAAGAACTTTGCCTTCTTGATTTTTTTTTTAAGTTAATTTTTAGAGTCAACTCCTCCCCAACCAGCATAATCAAGCCTAAGTTAATTAGTGTTAAAAGCCAGTTAAAGCAGAAATTCCTCTAAAAATAAATAAATACACATACGCATGCCTTAAAACTTTCATTTAACTTACAGCTATAGTAACTGAGGTGTGGTGCTGTGCGTTAATGCACCAGACTGTAAAGCCATTTGAACTGCAAGGCTGGTGGTTCAAGTTCACCAGCTGCTTCTCAGAAACCCTATACAGGGTCACTATGGGTCGGAACTGACTTGAAGGCACATAACAACAACAACAACAAATAGTGACTGACTACTCCAGTTTGCCTGAGATAAAGGACTGCTGGTCATCTGCTTACAGACTATCAGTAGACAGGCCTTTACAGTCTGTTGCAGACCACACCCTATTTTCTAATAAGGGTCTACTAATCAGGGATTCCATGTGGACCTACCTTAATAAACCACTCCAATAATGTGGTCTACAATTCCAATCTCAGTTTCTCTGAAACCAAGCAAGAACTGAAGGCACTGTTGAAGCAATCTAAAAGTAGAATCCTGCTAGAGGTTTACAATTCCCTCATCTTCCATAGCTGACACAACAATTTACTTTGAAAGGCATGCTTTATGAGTGACCAATTTTAAATCTTCATATAAGATATTCAATATATTTTCAAAGAAGCAATAGCCTTTTTTTAAAACATTTTATTGTAGGTTGGGTCAAGGTTTACAAGAAAAATTAGTTTTCCATTCAACAATTTATATACATTAATGGCAACCTCCCTGATGTAACATCACACTTCCCACTTCCTCCCTGGCTTTCTGCTCCTATAAAGATGTACAGCCTCAGAAACTCTATACAGGTCACTAGGAGTCGGAACCAAATTGAGAGCACACAACCACTACCATCACCACCTCCACCAGGAAACTGTGGTTCCGAGAGATTAAGTGATACTCCCCATTTCCATTCTTCCTTCTTAAATCGTGCCAACTTATACTCATATCCAGTGACTTCAGAAAACATTTATGTACTATTTCAATAAATTATATCATTCTAGTAAGTGTAATTGGCATAAGGAGGTTTGGGATCAAACATACTAGTTTGGCAAGCACACGGTTCAGTGACCGGGAGCAGGAAGACACATGTCCTTGTAGAGTGCAGTAAAATGACCGTCCAACATGCCACGGAGATGTGTGTTTCATATGTGTTACATGGTGACTGCTGAGTACATACTTTAATGTTATGTAAAGTTAGGAAAACGCCTGTACTTGATGTAAGCATACACTGCAAAATATTTTACAACATTTTCTTAAAAGGACACTCTCATTCAAATTTCAGTGTAAGTTTGCTTTCCACTGTCTTACTATTCCTGGAAATAGCAATTGACTCATGCCACCAATCTCCATTGCTTGTCAACTAGATAGATAGATAGATAGATAGATAGATAGATAGATAGATAGATAGATGATA